AGACTGTATATAAACATGTATACACAGGTTTGTAAAAAAGGTAATTGTCTACTTTCCAATATATTGTTATTGCACATTTTTCCCAGGAGTTTACAAATGCCACTAAAAACCCACGTCCCCTGCAGAGTCATTTTTTCTTTCAGCCAGTGGTTGAGTGTAACTGACTGAAATGCTCTTTCCTCCAGACCCAGTTCATCGAGCTTTGCAAGACCCTGTACAGCATGTTCAGCGAGGACATCGAAGAACAGGAGCTCTACCACGCCACGGCCACTGTCACCAGTTTACTGCTGGAAATGGGAGAAGTGGGGAAGCTCTTCTCCTCCTCCGCCTCCAGTAGAAAGGACCACAACATGGAGGGTCAATCAGAGCGGACCACCGATCCCAACACCACCCAGGAGGCCGGGCTTGATGACGTGCTCCAGCAGCAGGACCAGGGAGGCGATTTCGTCCATGCAGGTCTGGAGAACAAGGCGAGCCCCTGCGACGAGGGGAGAGGGGACGAAGAGAGCGAGCAGCTGCCACCTATGCAAGACATCAAGCTGGAGGACTCGTCCCCTAAGGACATTGGCACGTCCTCTGCCATGCTCACCTCGGATGACGAAACCAAAGATGACACCTCAATGTCGTCTTACTCGGTGCTCAGCGCGGGCTCCCACGAGCTGGATGAGAAGCTGCAGTGCGAGGACATCGCAGAAGACACGGTGCTGGTGCGCAACGACAACGGTGAGATGGGCAACCGGCCGTGCGTCAGCGGACCCCTCGACAGAGCGCTGCCTCACAGCTCCAGCATCGACAAAGACTGGGCCATCACGTTTGAGCAGTTCCTGGCCTCTGTGCTCACCGAGCAGGCCCTGGTACATTATTTTGAAAAGCCGGTGGAGGTTGCAGCTCGCATAACCAATGCCAAGAATGTGCATAAAGTCGGGCGCCCCCTGCTGTCAACAAGTGACTATGAGATCTCATTATCTGGCTGAAGTCTTGCAGGAGATGTCACACAAAGACTTGTTTTAAAAGGGAAACACGAAGATCAGATGGGGTTGTGAAAGTGTCTAAGTGAATTTTAGACGAGAATGAAGGTCAATGTAAAATGTTTGTGTATGATAGTTGACCGAATTCGACCAAAAACCTCTCTTAGCAATGTATTTTACCAGATGTGAAAGACTTTTATTATAACAATCACTAGATTGAGACAGACCAGGACGTTAATATTAAGGTTTGCTCAAATGAAATCAGTGTGTACATGTAGTAGCTGTACTTTATAAGACATCATGCATAGGTGTTAATATTGTAATCCCTTGTACTCTTCGGCTGTGTAGATGTAAATGTCCACAGATACAGTCCAGTGTCAAACTGGGATATTAATAGTCTACAGTGCGTTCCATCACCTGACATTATATCTGCCCAAACCATCCCTCCCTCACTTCACCATTTTATTTGCTGCTAATCTTTTTTTTAATGTTTCTCAATATGTAAAAAAATGCAAATCTAAGCTGTGAAAATTCAACTTTCATGTGTTGTCGTGTAAACTCTCTCTAGCTCCACATCACTCTAATGTAATCTAACTACTCACACACACTGTAACTATTACTCCCTGGATACTCACCTCCCACAATAATAGTTACTCCATTTTATATCCTACTAGTAATAATAATAATAATGATAATAATAACAACAGTGATGGAAATGGCACAAAAATGATTCAACCACAATGTTTCAAGAAATCAGTGTTCTGGGAAAATGATGATTACACTAAGAAAATGCTTTTGAAAGAAGAGCCTGCACTTTCTTTATGTTTACAATCGTATGATCAACTTTATGTATTTGCCTTTTCGCAATGTCGTCTACACTCCTGACTAAAACCCTTTTTGGTTTAACATGTTTTTAATTCCTTTTTGATCTGTATTTCTTTTTTTACATTGTTTTTTATTTTTAATTGCTCGTCATTACTCTGGATTCTGATGCATTGTGTATCACTCCATCTTATTAAAATGACTGTTTGATTCAATGCTGCACAGTACATCGACTCAAACGTTTTATTTTTTTAATTTTACTGGCAACTGTAAACAAGGGCAGTGCGGAGCGTTACTGCCACCTGGTGGAAGATGATTGCAGCTTTCAACCTCCATGAGTTTTAACAATAAATAACTATTGTGAACAGATTTTGTATTTTTATTTATATCTTTATTTAAACTAAATTATAGCTGTAAGGAGAAAATTAAATAGACAGAATGGCCCTTTACGCCTCAATAGGAAAAGAAGGCGGGGCGAGGGAGATGATGAATTGGACACACCTGTGAGTCAAAAGGAGGGAAAATCAAACAAAGGTAGGATGGAGGAGAACATGTGAAGTGAGAGGAACTGATGGGAGGAAAACGATAAACTACTTTCTGGACAGCTGAGCCAAGAACCTGCTGGTTTCTTCCACCATCTTCCTGGACCAAGAGGCAAAGGAGCTGATTCCTGGAGACTCAAAGTGGATTTGAAAAATCTGTCCGACCTGCAGGGATTGAACCGTGATCCCTCTGTCCTGGATGAACCAGACAAGCTAAGTGTCCATACTGAAACTCTCCTCCCTGATTCCCTTCGTCTCTAAATTCACCCCTCGTCCTCCCTCTCCCCGGAGATTAAAGGACCCCCCTCAAAAACACACTTTTCCCACACTTTGCATTTACACTGGACAAACTCTCAACAAACTCATGTTTATTTAATGGATAGTTCATTTTCTTATTTGAAAATTAACTTGTTGGTGAATA